GAGCCCGAACTGGAAGGGCGAAACCGGTCCTGGGCTGTCGAGGCGTTTTCAGCAACCTTGTGAGTAGTTTCCATCATAGTGTAGAAAATGTTCACCAACGTTGTTCCTGTGGATAGCACATAATACACAATGCTTCGGAATTCATAAGGCGACCTGATTTAACTGATAGCGGTGGGGCTAAATTCCATTCCCAGACGGAACCCTTGACTCACTGACAAGCTGGTTTCCAATTCTCCCCTCTCAGCTGTCCACAGAGCATCAGTGTGTAAAGTTGAACATTGCGGAAATGATGTTTGGAAAAATAGTCAGCAATGAGAACAAAGTGGACTTTTATGTTTTCCCACTGTCCTCACCGGTGACGCAAGAAATCCGGTTGACTTTGACCTAAATATTCGACAAGGGTCTGCCAAAAATACTCTAGATCGACGGAAGCCTTTTCGATGCTGTGCGATGAACAACGTTCGGTAGTATTAATCATCAACTGCACAGTACTGCATTCCATAACCACCCAGACAATACCCCAACCTCGTCAGTTTCAGGTTGAGCTGACAGTCACGGATGAGTGTACTTCTGATGTGGTTGTCAACATTATCCCCTAAGGTTTACGAAGATAACCAGGGCGAGAACTGAAGAAAACAAACAAACAAACAAACAGCGATGATGAATTTGTTTTCTCTCGTTCCTCATTCACATTGCTCATCCGTACACCAGTATGATGCCTTATCTTTCGTACGAAACAATGAATACTAGAACGGACACACTGATTTCACTGATAAATCAAACGTTCGACTTTCCCCAAGTGTGATGCTGGGTATCTAAACTCCAAAAGCAGCAGTGGATGATATGGCCTAGGAAGACGAGACCTGAAAACTGGAATAGAACGCTGCATTTCACATGAGGATAAGCAACGGCGATCAATACAAAATGGATGTGTTTCAAGTGAATCACGTTGGTGGACGTTCGGATCATTTTCAAACCTGACTGAAACATGAGGCGGCCTGGTGCAGCACATTCAGTTGCCTGAGAACATCATAAACGAGAGATTCAGCTGGGTTCCAGGTGAGTCTCTCGAAAGAACCAAATTAGTTT